ACCTGATTGGATGGTACTGGTGAAAGGAGATGGAGATAAGACCCTTGTGGTTCAGTAGTGAGTAATTGTTATCAGGACTGATTGTGAATGTTGCAAATGTAAAGGTAGACATTTTGTAACAAAAGGAGGGGAGTGGTTGATCTTGCAGTCCAGGAGTGGAGGACTCTAGGACCATCAAGGGAAAAGAGCAGAGTGCAGGACCCTATCTATTCTGCAATCTACCTGACCTCCTCATCACCTAGATCTCTATTCCTATATTTTTCTCATCTTTGACATGGTTATTATTTTCAACTTTGATTGAACTCCCAGTTCCTCTGAATTTGTTGTTGTAGTTTTGCTCTGTTCTGGACTCTGCTGTCTGTTGACTGAGTTCCAGGTGGTATTGTCACATTTGTCAGTCTCTGGTTGTTGTCTGTTCTTGTTGGTTTTCAGTCCGAAGAACTCTCTTTAGGATGTTTTGAAGTGCCAGAGTAGCTTTGACAATGTCTCTTAGCTTCTGTTTATCCTGAAATGTATTGATTGTACCATCACATTTGATTGACAGCTTTGCTAGGTAGACAATTCTTGGTTAGCAGTTGTTTTTTTTGTTTTGTTTTGTTTTTCTTTTAGGGTTTTATATATGTCTCCCCATTGCATTCTTGCCTGAATGGTTTCTGCTAAGAGGTCAGAGCTTAATCAGATATGCTTGCCTTTGTAAGTATCATTTCTCTTTTCCCTGGCTGCTTTTAAGATTCTCTCCTTGTCTTTGATTTTGGAGAGCTTGATTATGATATGTCTTGATGATTTTCTTTTGGGGTCTATCCTTCCTGGGGTTTGTTCAGCTTCTTAAATGCTTCTTCTCATTCTTCAAGATGTTAGATAAATTTTCTTCCAACAGCTCTTCAACTATCTCCTCTGTAGACATCTGTGATTCTTCCTGTTCTAGAATGTCAATAATTCTTGTTATTCCTTTTCATGTTATCCAACATGAATCTTAGACTCTCTTCAGAAGTTTTTTATCCTTTTTTCTGCTTGTTCTCATATCTTAGCAGTATTGAGAGATTTGTCTTCCAGCTCGCTGGTTCTGGCTTCCATCTCTTCAATTCTACTCCTTTGCCTTTTCAGTGTATTGTCCATTTCTGATATTTTATTATTAATCATCTGGACCTCTTTTTGCAGGATTTGAATTATTTCCAATGCTATATCTATCTTCTTTCA